TTTTAAAAAAAAAAAAAAAAAAAAAAGACACCCACTGCAAAATGCTTGCCAGTTTCAAAGCACTTTGCAAACACTAATTCATTCATAATATTTAACCTGGTTAACCCACATTGAAATCCTTAAGGCAACTCTTTTTCAAAGCAATGTGTCACATATTAGAAGTCCCAGGAGTCTTCTCAGATTGACGTGGAAAGGATTAGAACAATACTGAAGTCTCCTGTAATATGATCTGCTTTTTCCTGTGCCAAAATTTCTGGGGGCTTATCATGCAATATGGCTGGCAAGCCAATTCACCTGAGGCTGGGCCACAGGCATGCACAAGTTAAATCTGGTCAGCAACTTCCTCTCCATACCCTTCCTTATTCTTCTAAAGGAAAAGCGAAAAGAGAAAGGAAGCTAGAGAACTGAAATAGGACACAGATCCTGAATACACTGATATGTCTGAGAGAACTACAGGTACATTTTCATATCACTCACAATTCCAATGCAAAAATTACCAAGATGACCCCAATATTTGTTACTTGCATCTAAGTGTTATGATTTTGGAACAAACAGCAGAATATTTACTAGGCAATCTATATGTTCAACTTTTATCCTTTTTAAGCCTTAGCTGCTTCTATTGCATCAGTTTGGACAACTCCTGAAACATAGAATAAGGGAAGCCAGTAAGATAATACATACAAAAATATCTCTGGTGGTTGTTTTGGAGAGTCAAGTGAGTTGCCTTTTTTTAAGCAGCCAGAAAAAGTTAAAAGAGACAAAAGCAACCCCCCCCCCAAAAACTAATGAAAGTCCTTATTCCAGACCCTCTCTAAGTTAAGACTACTTGCTCTCCAGCAGGTATAGTTCAATGGTAACCCACCCTCACCTCCAGGCACTAAAATATACAGCATCAGGAGCTGAGCAACTAGCAGCTTGTATACCTAGCCATGCATACAGCCATCTCATCCAATAGGAAGTTAAGTAAGTAGTTATGCAGACAAAGGAACTTGGTCATCATATTTTCAATCACTAGGTGGCATACAAAACAAATCACCTACATAGACAAAAAATAGGACAGCATCCCTAGGACCAGGAACAGGTTATATTACCTGTATTATTACTAATCCCGTTTGAATGCTCTTGGTTCCAACTGATGAGGTATCAGTCAGACAACTTCCATGGAAGTTTTGAGGGATTGGAGTCATCTGCTGTCCCATGAGTGCTGTAGCAGCACCTAATGGGTGTAAGGGTAAGGATGGGTTAACAGGCACTTGTAGGTATTCTTAGTGTCTGTGGTTATTAGGAGGGAGGGCTTAAATGCTCTTCCATAGATCCTGGGACAGCTCAGGATACAATAGTACTGGGCTCCTCTGTGGTTAATTGAGAAGAGTCAGCTTGTGTGAGAAACCCCAGGACATTGGGAACACTGCTGCCCTGACAAGTTCTCTCTTTGCATGGCAATGGCTATTACCAAGTGTTCTCCCAGACTTCTCTTACCTAAGGTTTCCATGGCCTCTTGCCAACCAATTCAGTGGCATCACACCGAGTTATCCACTACAACTTTTCACAGGCGCATGTACGCCTCACTAGAACATTGATCAATATACATACAGCTCACACAAAGGCTTTGCTAAAGCATTGGCCAGAGCAGGCTAATGCATGAACTCCTTATAAGGGAAATTTGGTATGTGGAGATACTAAAACTTGGTATCTCCTGCCAGGAGATGGGGAGGAGATGGCTGTACATGGTGTAAGATAAGCTTGGAATGGGAACACCCAGATTAGGTTGCAAAACAAGTGTATAGTACAGGGTGGTTTAAGATATTAAAAAAAAAAGGTGTACTACATAATTTGTTTTGATCACTGTATCAAAGGAGAATTTGAAAGTATGGGAACTTTGTATTGGCCTAGGGGAGCCTACGCGGTGTGCCAATGTCACGGCATTGTCCTGTGTATACCTTGTCCCAGGCATACATGCATTAACACCCCATCTGTCAGATCACGAGTGCCTTAGTGCCATGCCTCGTAGACAATAAACACGGCCAAGGCTTTGCCAAACTCAGCCTGCAGTCATTCTTTAAGACAAGATTGGCGTTGGGATCTCCTGGCTGCGACTCACCAGCACTGCAGTTCCTGAGATTTTAGGACTGACCACAGTTCAATAACACCCAACAAGGACAGCAACAATGACAGTGCCATTGGATTAGGCTCACTTCAGAGCCTCTAGAAGAGGCATGACCTGTGCATTTCAGTGCAATAAGCTATTTATTGGTTTACACAAGGTGCAGTTGTTTTATCAATCCCCAATGCCACCCAAGTCCTGCTGGGCATAATGTTCTGCCCCCAGAGAGGTAAGGAGCAGAGACAGCACTGAACCAATGGATTCTTTATGGTCTTTTCTGAAGGAGCCCGATAAGGAAGTGGCAGTTTGCATCGAAAGTGCCTTGTTACAGTCTGGTTTTAATTGATTGAGCCTGGGGGACTGCTGACATAAGCAGTACTGATATCAACTAAGTGCATGCAGAGCTTTGAATACACATTGTTGTGAAGGTGCCAATTATCAGTATGGCAGGACTTTGATCCAGGCACGTTTTGCCTGGTTTCAGGTTTCATTTTGCATTCCCAGGCAGGGATCTGTTGGCAAGCTCAGGCCACATTTCAAGTGGCCCTGCTCCCAGTTACTGTTTCCAACGGAAACCAGGCAAAACTTGGTGGTTTCCATGGTGTCAACCCAGAACTGTTTCAGCCAATCTTGGCATGAGAGAGGGTGCTGGTAGGAGTTCAAACAGAAAATAAAGCAAAACTCAACCCCGCGCAAAGCAGAAGCAGGAAAAAAAGATTTTTTTTATATATATATATATATATATATATATATATATCTCCATCTCATAAATCACTGTTGCACGTGCTGGTCTGTGTATGTCCTCTGAACAGCATCTGATGAAGTGAGTTCCAGCTCACAAAGCTTGTGCTCACCCACTCTATCTATCTATCTATCTATCTATCTATCTATCTATCTATCTATCTATCATCCTACT